TCGGAAGAGATCCTTGTCACATCTGAACTGTTCAGTTTGCACAACAATTGTTACAGGTTTCACACTTGTGATCTGTCCTTTGATATCACTTATGGAAGATCAGCTCATGGTTTTGGAACAGCTTGGTATTTCTGCAGCTTTATTAAATGCCTCAAGCAGTAAGGTATGTTTAACTCTCAAGCGTTTGGTTTTTGTGGTGGCTTCTTACCCTTAGCCTTTTATGCAGGCTTCTTACCTCTGTGTATATTTACAAATAGTGAATGAAGGGCCTAGTGTTAGCAGCTAGTGCCGTTCTGTCAACCGTATCTTGCCAGCTACATGCTGTGGTAGGAAAAATGGGAATAAGTATCTTCCATTCTTGTTTTAATGACAAGAACACACATGAAACAACACCTTTAAGGGAATAAACAGATTTCATGAGGCTATTCAGAGAATGAGAAGTACCTTTTTTAGGTGTTTATTGTAGATTTTTATTCATTTTCTAGACTTAGAAGATTGGAGTAGGTAACTACCAGTAACATGTTAAGAGGTGCAGGGTTTCACATGTAATTATTTATCCTGCTTCACAGTGGTAGGCTGTTTGATATAGAGGCCAAGAAGCAACTTATTTCCCAGCTTGTTATTAGTCAGTAGCTTTTTAAAATGAAGTATATTTTCTTGACTACCATCAGGAAGGCTGCGGACATTAACTTGCACATGACACTGGATTTAATAGGTTAATGGCTTGATGCAGTGTGCCAAACTTGGAGCCTGTTTTGAGGTAGAGTGCTCTGAAAACTCAGTAATAAAGACTATGATTGTGTGCAAGATTTTTTTTTTTTTTTCCATTTGTGGTACTGTAGACATGTTTGGTACATTATTGGGAAAATACTGATACTATATGATGAAGAAAAGACAAATATTCAATATTTTGATTTTTTCAAAGTTCTATGACAGAATAAATAATATTTTATATATAATGATCTTCTACAAAGACGTAGTAGTGGTAAATGTAACAGTTTATCAGTCTCTGTTAATTACCCCTCATGAATTGTTAAAAACCTCTTAAGACTCTTAGCAGTAAGCAACTTCAGTGTGCTGTCCTGATTTGCTAGCTCCTGATTTCTTCTTTTATTTTGAACAGGAACATGTGAAATGGGTTCATACCGAAATGCTAAACAGAAATTCGCAACTGAAGCTTATTTATGTGACCCCGGAGAAGATTGCAAAAAGCAAAATGTTCATGTCAAAGCTAGAGAAAGCCTATCAAGCAGGATGTCTTGCACGCATTGCTGTAGATGAGGTCCACTGCTGTAGTCAGTGGGGCCATGACTTCAGGCCCGGTACGCTCGTTAGAAATAGTTTGCAGTCTTATTTGCGTATCCGTAAATGATGAGTTAGGCCTGAAATAAAGCTAGGTGCTTTCTTCATGTGTTAAGGGAATACTTGGTGTATGGCAAGTACCTGTGTTAGCTCAAAGACTTAAAATTTTATTCATGAATGAATATGTCCTTGTTCAGGAGCTAAGTTTATGCAAATGAGAGTGATTTCAGTGCACATTTTGTTGTCAGTATTCTGAAAAACTTCTAAGTCAGTTTAATTTGAGATTAATAAAATGGAAGATTTTGGTTGTCATCTTGAATATGGATATTACAGTCATCTTTAATCTACTGCTACATGCAGAAGTGTCTTTCTGTATACTGTTCCTTCGCACTCTGAGTGACAGAGGTAGAGCATTTTGTAAATTCGTGAGATGTATTTTAATCGCTTCTAAAGCAAGTTGAAACAAATCCCCTTGGCTTGCAGGGAAAGAAAATGTGCTCCACTTTGTTTCCTATCTTGTCAGTTGTAGAAGACTGTTACTTACTGGTTATTGTTTCTTTGCCTTTGAAAGAAAACCTGATTTGAAGCAGTAATAACTGGAAAGTCAGCCTTTGCAATTTTGTTAAAAGTGGGGTCTGAGCAAAGAGCTGTGCTGGTGGAATAGGCAACACGGAATTTGGATGCATACATCTGGCTGTATTTCTGATCTAAGGCAGCAAGTGATTGTCAGCACTGAGCCCTTAAAATCTTACCTCGATACAATCTGGTCTGTGTTCTGTTCCACATTGTTTGTTTATTAGTAAAGCTGTGTTTACTGAAAAGCTGTTTGTAAGAACAGACCTGCAAAATGACCTGAATGTTGGTTAATGTGATGCCACTTTGCTTTTCTAACTTCCCGTGAACTTCTATTTCAATGTGTTTTGCCTTCCATGTGGTGGCTGCTTCTGTAGAATTCAGTTAGACGAGAGAGCACCTATTGTGTTAAGTACTTAATTTAAGTATATGAATTAGTGCAGTGGTAAATTGATCGGTAATACAATTTATTGTGGTATTACCCTACTGAAGAGTTATCTACATGAATATCTTTTTAAACTTTGGATCTATGGCATGAGAAATCTTTTATTTTACCTTTTTATTTTCTTGCTTAGACTACAAGTCTCTTGGTATCTTGAAAAGACAGTTTCCCAATGCTCCCTTGATTGGATTGACAGCAACTGCTACAAATCATGTTTTAAAGGATGCTCAGAAAATTTTGCATGTTCAGAAGTGCATTACCTTTACTGCGTCTTTCAACCGGCCCAATCTTTACTATGAGGTATGTCTTACTACCTTCTTATCTTCTGTAAGTTACATTTTGATGAATTTTGGAATAGATTTTCAGTTACACATTTTCACATTAAATAGCTTAGCTGAATGGTGGTGACTTTCCATGACTCTGTATTGCTGAACTTCCTGTCATCCACAGAGGAACTTGGGCTGCTCTGTCTTTGTGAGCAGCACTTGGCAGATAGGACTGTGTACAGGGGAGAAGTAGGTAGCAGGCTCAGACTTATTCCAAATTTTAGGATGACGTGTCACACAATTGCAAAAATTGTGAATTGTTGTGTTGTACTGTATTTTCAGTTTCACCACAGCTTCCTGTATTGCTTTTCATGGAAAAACTTGTGTGCTTGTTTTTTACTCTGGACTTTCAAGATTTTATCTGACTACACAAAGAGAATCTAGTAATTCTAGTTAAATGTCAGACTAGTTATGTTTATTGTAGTGGAAGAAATAGAATAATAGGATTGTTTTACAGATTGTGTGCCTGCTTGAAGAACTCTGGCATGTGTTATGTTTTTAAGGTTCGGCATAAGCCTTCAAATAATGAAGATTTCATTGAGGACATAGTTAAGATAATTAATGGAAGATACAAAGGACTCTCAGGTAAAAAGTGGGGAAAAAAAAGAATATAAAAAATAACACGTTCTCTCTTTTTTATCTTCACAGTTACAGAGATTTTTAAAGTGATCCTGAAATGTGTAGAGAATTTCTACCCTTACTGTATATTAAACATCCAGCATTAGAAGACAATAATATAATCTCTACCTTGAATAATTACTCTTTGCATTCATTAGTGTTTAAATGCTTTTACAGTTTACTTCTGTCCTCTGAAGTAATGAAGTACAATGTTGATGTAGAGTGCTTACATAATGCTTATGTAGAAAAGAATAATAGGAATTTTAAAGATTGTAATAAAAAAGGCTTGTAAAAGGTTATCTATATATTCCTAAGTCACATAAATGTCATGTAGTATCTATGTGCCAGGGTACTTACTGCTTTAGCACTGTTTTGTCATATTTGGTCATAAGATTCATGTATTATTCAGTGCCCAGAATGGGTGTGGGGTGAATTGCACTTTTGTGATGAAAGAAGAATCGTAAAACTTGGACTTTGTATATTCAGTAAGTTAGGTAGCGCAAATAAAGAGGAGAGCTGTATTATTTAGGCAGCAGAACCCAATTTTCCTGAGCAGCAGTCTATCCCTATCTCTGCTGCAAAATCTGTGGCTGTGGTGAGCAGCTCCCCAAGTACAAGCTGTTCTAAGGTGATCACAGATCGCAGGGCTTTGTGTGTAATCCTTGACTTAGCCTACACCGACTAATGACAAAAAGCAGATTTATCTGAAACCTCGGGTGAGATGTCATAGGGAACAGCACCTCTTTATATAAGCATTAACAACCTCCTTGAACATTTATATAATACTTCCATGTTTATGTGAATTCCTGCCCGCATTTTCCCTTTAGCCTACAAGTCGAAGCTGTTAATAGAAGTTCCCTTCATGGCTACCACTATAGCAGACTGAAGAGACACAAACATAATTGACTGTTATTTATTTATTTATTTGTTTGTTTGTTTGTTTATTTCTAAGTTCATAAAACTTTCCAAGTTGTTTTTAAGTATTGGGGATAGTTTGGTTTTTTTAAAGACATTACAATAAGGTATCTTTCACCTTTGCACAGGAATTGTTTACTGTTTTTCTCAGAAGGATTCTGAGCAAGTTACTATGAGTTTGCAGAAACTGGGAATCAAGGCAGGGACTTACCATGCAAACATGGATGCTAAATATAAGACCAAGGTTCATAAAGGATGGGCAACAAATCAAATCCAGGTCAGGTAGATACTTTTCATAGACTTACGCCTCGTTTAAATGAACTGTGTTCCGGTACCTTGATGGTTTCTTAATCTTCTTTTCAGGTTGTAGTGGCAACTGTTGCTTTTGGCATGGGAATTGATAAACCTGATGTGAGGTTTGTAATTCATCATTCTATGAGCAAATCCATGGAGAACTACTACCAAGAGAGCGGGCGTGCAGGTATTGTAGGAAGTGACTTTTACCAAGTCACTGTTTACATCCATTAAACAAATAAAATTGTACTTCAGTTGCAGCCATTTGTGCCAACTAAAACGTCTTGCCTTTGAGACGCGTTCCAAAGTGTGTAATGCCACTCTGCCTCTGTAAAGAGGATTTAAAGCAAATATAAACTGTTTGTGATCTCAGGGTTCTGTACTGCAATGTAGCAAAGAATAACTGAGTACTAGCCCCTTACTCAGCATTTTTTTTATTACTTGATTGTTGTGACATTTGTGACTTACTAGAATAATTTCATAACGTGACATTGACTTATCTGATGTATGCTATAGAAAGGGCTTTTTTTTCTTTGCATAGCAACTGGGATGTGCGATTTGCTCAGATTGTTTCTGGATGATGTCTGATCATTGTAGGAATTTCAGTGGCCACAGAAATACAAGTAAGATGGGGAATCTGGAACAGGGAATTTTAAGGATTTGTAAATCTATAGTAGCACTAAGTAACTGTTATAGCTAAAAAATGTTTTGTGGTGTTTTGGTTGTTTTTTTTTGACCTTGTGCATTTTAACTTTTTCAAAGACAAATTTGAATCTATGTGGAGGAGAACATTTAAAGGCCCTTGAGGCACAGTTGGTTGAGATTTTAATTATCATCATGTGGCTTAAGAAATACAGCAGTTATCAAAATTCTTAGGAGTTTGAATTTGCTTAAAGTAGAACCTGGCTACTTTTAGATAGTGCTGGAGGTAACAGGAAGTATAAATATTGCACTGGTGAGACACGAGCCATATAGGTGCTAAAATAGTTGTTTCACGCTGTTTATTGACTTCAGATGATTAAAGCAAGCTTTTGTGTTCCTTTTTCATAACTTGATTTAAATGAGATTCTTCTCTGAAGGGATTAATTAAGCACTGCTTCTCATTTGCCTGAACATACCACTTAGCTAATGAAGCCTTCCTTTTTTTTTTTTTCCCTTGACTGCTCATATAGGTGAAGTAGTTCCTTTCTGTTATATTAAATTTTTTTAAGAGTTTGGATTTTTTTTCAGACCTTTTCTGCGCTCTGAATCTTGTAAACAGCAGGAGGGCACCCGTCAGAACGTCCTTGGGAAGGGTAGACATTAGAAAGGAAAAGATCATCTAAAATCAGCTATAGCTGGTTTATGTGGATACACTTTACAGTTAGCTGTGCTAGCAGCACTGTGTTGCGGAATTAAGACTGTCGTCCTTGAGCTCTTTTCTAAACAAGGACATAACTCTTGCTTGCTAATTATGAAAAGAGACCCTGACCAGCTGAATATAGCTCATGTTGGGAGTTTGTCCGTGAGAACGAACAGATAAGAGGCTTCTCGCACACAAGATGTGCATGGGAGTGAATGGGAGAGTATGATCAAAGTAGACCTGGGAAAGTCTGTTCTCCCTGTGTGATAAGAGTGTGATTGGAGGAGTACATGAGCTAATAACAACCCTGGCTGCATAGTCTGGTCTCTTGTTTGTAATCCACAAATAGTGCTTCTTGCTAAGAAGTATAAATATGTGTGTCTGCCTGCAATAAAGCGAATTCCATTTTCCACCATCTGGGAGTTCGTACGTGCTTCTCCACAGGTTTTGAAGACGCTGTTGGCTTTAAATGAAATATTTTCTTAAATCATACTTAATTCTTTCTTTCATTATCACCGTTAATACTAACAAGGTGTTTGAAGCTCACAATGTCTTTTAATCAAATAAGAGTTAGGCTTCAAGATGTATTTAGCTAGGATTTTCCAAGAGGTGTTACGGTGAGGAAGTAGTGATTTCTCTGACTTCCTGCATGATGCTAATGTTTTATTTTTGTTGTTAAAGAGTCAAATATCTTCACTGTGTAGTATTTTCAATTTGCCTGATTCTGTCCTTGTAGAAGACTATTCTATTTTCTTTCTAGTCTGTACCATGCTATGTTCTGTTGGCTAATGCCTTTTGCCTGATACTCAGTTACAGCCATATGCCCTCTGTATAGGGACTGTAGAAGTCCATGCAAGTGAGAGTGGAATTTGTACCAGAAAATGCCATGCTTGAAATTAGTATCTTCAAATTTTTTTTTGTTTTAATGCATTGCAGGTAGAGATGACCAAAAAGCTGACTGCATTTTGTATTATGGTTTTGGAGATATATTCAGAATCAGCTCAATGGTAGTGATGGAAAATGTAGGGCAAGCGAAGCTCTATGATATGGTGTCTTACTGCCAGAATATGAACAAGTAAGTTACTGTGGTGGCTCGGTTGCTTAGTTTTTAAATAGGTTGATTTTGTGGGTTTTTTTAGAATGCATTTGAAAAAAAGAACCAAACAAAACCAGCAACAACAAAACACCACCACCCTGTAGGAACATCACTGCTGTAACAGAGTCTTGAGTTTGGAGTTTGTGATTTGGCTGCTCGGTACATGTACTCTTGCACATAACTGAATGTTGCTATGTTGCTTGCCAGCTCCAGGATAAAGTTCTGGAAGCAGTGAAATATCTGTTAACAAACACTCTTTAGATTTCAAATTACACTCAGAAGCAAAAACTGGGATGCTTTGGTTTCTACTCTAAGTAAACCAGTGTTTAATGGCCATACAGGAATCCCCATGTGTTTAATGCTTCATCAGCTGTGCTGAACTATTTGGAATACTTCACAGAAAACACTTGATTCTGTCTTGTGGACAATTCATGGGTTCAGTGTAACCTTTGTTGGCCTCAATCTAAGAAGTAGTTCATATTGTTATGGTTTTTTATTCTATCAGAATTGCAGATTATACTTTTTCTGCTTTAACCAGACTGTTCCTGCCGTGGTGTTTACTATTACTGAGAGAGCTACTAGGTATTCCTATTTACATAAGCGACAGATAATAGTGTCTTGTAGTATTTGGTTTCTGAGTTTTGCTGAGAGAATTCTTTATGCTTGTTTTGAGATATGAACTCACTCAAGGGACCTTGTTTTTGCCATCTTCATGACTTATAATACAGGCATGTGCATTTATTTTCTGTAATCCCTCTTTGCTCTCTGTTCTTTCAGATGTCGCCGGGTCCTCATAGCCCATCACTTTGATGAAGTATGGGATTCTGCAAACTGCAACAGAATGTGTGATAACTGCTGTAGAGACAACTGTAAGTAAATTGTTTTTATAACTGACAACAGAGAACATGGAGAAGGTTGGCTTGAAGTATCTAATTTAGACAAACTGGGCAACTTCTGCAAAGTATGCTCATAATACTGTCAGTTTCTAAGGCGCAAAGTTTATGAATGTCAGTTTTCATGGAATCATAGAGCAATTCAGGTTGGAA